ACGATTGGGTGTTTGTTAGAAAGGGCAAATCCGTTACTTCTTGCCATGCTAAAAGTTTGCCACAAAATGAAAAAGAAGAAAGTTATGGTCATCAAAAGCTCAAAAACCCGCATTCGCACGAAAAAAAAGTGTGAACGGGTGAATTTATATCAGATGCTGGTGCACTTGTTCACTAACAAAATGAGAAGAGAGTGAGTCGTACCGGGACCCCTAGGAAAGGGGAGAGGGTCGCAAAAACCACGAAAAAGTGCGAACGCGACGATTGACCCTGACGCTGTCATGACGATGTGTTCATTGAATTATCGAAATTCCACTTCTATTTGCATCTTGATTATTTGTAGCAATTATGCGATCACTGTAGGTGGTTGCGCGAAGCTTCATAGTGAACAAATTCTCATGAAAGACCACTGGCGATGGGCTTCTTTCACTCAAGGCTACAGCAACGCTTTTCCTCTTGTCAAAATATAACATTAGGAATCAGCGGGTCCATGGCGAAAATCGTTTATGTAAATGGAGTTTGTGGATCATTTTCAATAATAATGTAGTGAATTCAGTTTTTATATAGGGGCTTTTGACGAGTGAGCTTCAACATGCCAATACCTTCTAGTGCCCTTTACCCCCTAGTACCCTTTACGCATTCTTCCCTATACCTGGAAACCCTTCTGAAAGATAAAATAAGTGTTTCAATAACACGTCCACAATTTCATCGAAGGCAGAGACAGCACTGGTGAGAACTGGTTTGGGATATCACAAATTATTTTTTCATCCGCCAGAACGCTCTTCACTGCGACTCACCTTCAGAGAAGGCGACTCCAAGTATTTACTTAGTATTTTCTTGAACACTTTTTGTACTATGAAACCAAATACCACTTTCAGAACCGGGTGTCTCAGGAAATTCTCACAAAACGCTATCGGATCCCATTTTTCAAAGAATAACACGTCCCAAACATCTACATTCATTATTCTCTCAAAGAAATCGTAGGATGTTTTGATTACAAATTCCAATAATGCTTAATTCCTCTATAATTCGCCTAATATGAATTTCTCACCGCTTTCAACAACTTGCCTTCGATCATCATACTACAAGGATTTGCAACAAAAGCTCTTTCCACGAGAAACCAAACTATCTCTTTGACTGCGCATCTTCTTAGAGGCTAGTCTGTAATCTCACACGGAAAGTGCGATACATAATTTTTTGCTATTTTTTCTTCGACTTAGTGTAGCACTCAGCTAACCGTAATTATTCCGAAGTCAAACTAATCATTGAAAAGCATTATTTTCTTTCTCCTGAAGCGGTGCTTGACGACTGAATTACACCTTGACCATTCTAAAATGTGGTCAGAAAGCTTTTCAAAATGGCCTGCCCTATGATTTTATTCTCCTTTCACACGAGCAGCGAAAAGTCAGCTAGCAAGGTTAGCTCACAGAGCGCGAAACTAACAAAGCAATCTCAGAAATCTAATGAGTTCGTTTTTGTTTTGTAAATTAGTGCATGTCTGCCACAGTGCAAATTTGTGGAGATTTTATGGCTCAAAGTAAGAAGCAATCCCCAAGTGTTTGTTCCCCCTTAGAAGCCCTACACCGTGAGAGGCATGCCCACTGACTCTATGGGAAATTTGAATAGCAGCCTTAGCAGACCTGTCAGCGATGCTGACTATGGTAAATGAGTGATGTAGGTGATGTTGATGCAACCCTAAAAACAGAAATTCATCGAGTTCGAGCGCTTGTGTTCTTAACCAACTAAAACTAGAAGATGGAGGACTAATTGTGCAGTTTTGGCGGACTGCTCTTGATTTTTTCGTTTCTTTTAGCTATTCGACCACTAATCGTAAGTGAAATCCAATTTAATTAAAACTTATAAAGAATGTTTTGGCAGCATATGACGGTGATCAGCATCTATCACACGCCCAACACTGCTACTTTAAGATTATAAGTAATTGAATGGGTTGGAATACCGGTTCTGCTGAATCATTTTATGTTCCCTTCTATAGTTCATATAACTTCGTATAATTAAGTCCCACTAATTCAGAAGATCAGATTCCTCAGCACTCGACTGGCTCTGTGGCTTTGGAAGAACTCTAACGCTTCTAACGCTCGATAAGCAGAACGAAGCACTGTCTCCATATCGAGACAGCCTCTCTAAGAAAATATAAGTAGTGGCGCTTTCTCGTGATGTCAAAAAACACCTTTGGACATAAATTTTTGTTCAGATTCAATATGATTACTGAAATAATAGGTTTAAAAGAAAGCTCTGTAACACTCCTTCCAAAATTTTTTTTTCTGGAAATATTATATCTAATATTTATGATTAAAAAATGGTGAAGCATTCTCGAGTCTTTAATCCACGAGGTTAATATAAGTGCTGCAGTCAGTAGTTATCCAAGCAGGTCAAAAAAGTTCGACCAGTAGTAGATCCATACTCCGAGTCACTTTCTAGCATAAATGTCCCCATAAAATATAGATTCGTGTCAAAGACGCAGCACGCTAACTGCAATGATCAATTAGAGCATGTTATTCAGCCGATAACTTTTTAACACATTGACGACAATGCGAGTTTTGGCTTTTTTGGCCACGTGGGACCGCGGCGATTTTGCGGGCGCGCTCGCCTCAGGTCGTTCAAGCAGATTTTGAGTGATAAATACACAACTAATGATCAATTCAAAACCAAATCAGTAAATTGTAATGAGCGCAACCTACCCAGGGGTACAGTAGTGGAATTTTGATCGAAAGACATGGAATAACAATGAAAAAGCGAAATTTTTCAGAACTAGCTGCAATGGACCTCAAAAGCAATTTTACGTTGATTATTTCCAATCAAAACACACATGTTGTCATCCCTAAGGTTCCGTATCTACTTCTACTACTATTTAAATCTTCACATTCATAAAAGAAAAAGTAAACGAAAAATTTATTGAACTGAAGATTTCGTATGGTTCAGAAATCCTCCTCTAAATTAAGCATACGTGACCATTCTATGGGCCACTATGTTTGTAGCTACGTCAAGGTCTCTTCCATGGAATGAATACAAGAAACTTCTAAAAGAATCAGGCGTGCGCGAAAAAAATGAGTGTAATGGGTGCGGGGGATATATATCCCGCACGGTCCGACATGGCCTGCAATGCGCGGGATATATATCCCCGCGTTGTCGTCAATGTGTTAAGTTGGTCATCGGTTTCGATTTTTGATATATTTATAAGGAGCCAGCAGAGTCCCGCACACTCCATTACAGGTAAGGCTCTTGCGGAAGGTCAAACACAAGTTCTTCGTCATGGAAACCATTGGGGAGGTGGAGGTCTGTGCTACCAGAAGCTATTGGCCAAGGCAGCTCGTCAAGAGCCCTCGTACCGCGACAATATTCATTTCTTTCATGACATTGCGAATCACCATGATCCGAAATGAGCCCGCTAAGAAATTCTGGAGCTGCGGCAAGATTTCTTACCCTTGGCGTATTCCCCTGGTCGAGCTGTAAATGACTGCCACCTATCCTGAACCTTAACACGTTGACGAACGCTGTTGTACGCGTACTGCTTCAACATTTTTGGTATTCTCTCATCAATCGGCATTGATCCTCCAGCGCTATTATTACTAGTAATTGAAAAATCGGTCTTCGGATCCAATAATGTGTGTGGACCGTTGTGGAACAGCAATAAACGCCAAATAAATCAAGGAAAGCTAGTCCGCACGATGTGAAAGTGTGGTAGAATCCTACAAGCATCCATCAACGTGTTAAATCTCATCTTGATGTGAAATAATCAAGATGATAACTCCAACTCAAAAGTGAGGTCGCCTCCTTTCTCGACCCGCACTCCGCTGGGTTTTGGCGGGAGCATCAGAAAATTTTCTGAGCGTTGAAGACAAGTGGTGGACACTCATGGTAGATATAAGACCGGTCAGGAGTTGTAAACAAAAAAGATAAAATTAAAATCAAAAATTTGAAAAAGTGTTGCAGGACTTTCTTTCCAACCTAATATAATTTCTAATCAAGAATGCTCCCGTGTATCAATTTGAGTTTAGATAATTGACAACATTTAGGCCAAATTACGCTATTATCTGTTACTTGTATGACACATTTCCTATTCAAGCCAGTATATAAACATGGTTGGCGTCAGGTGTTCATGGGTTGTCTGGGAATAATTCTCCCTCTTTCAAAACGTGCAGTTCTGAAACATTCCTTCTAGAATACGGAATCTGATTGAAGGAACAGTGGAGCTTGGCCTTGGAGCGACATTCAAAAGTCTAGATAGGGTCAACATTTAGAGAGGTAGCTGTTTATGTTATCCCGTAAAACATAACTGCTACTAAGAGCGGTTTTGAAGGATGCGGATATCATTCATTTCGCTATAATATGCAGTCTAGCAATTACAGTCCATACCTCGCCGTCTGAGTAGGTGTGTCTATTCACTAAACGTGGCGGCAGCCGCTCGATGGGAGTCGCGAGAATAGGCTGTTCCCAACATACTTTGCTGGGAATGAATAAAACATGCTGATAACAGCGTGTCCAAGAGACTCCTATCAAATGGCAGCAGTCACGTCATGTCCAGCGACACGCCTACTCAGACGGACGGCGAGATATGGACTGTAAATAAGATACTGTGTAGTACGCCGCATAATCAATGAGCCCAATGCTTGCACTATGGACTCTATTCAGGAGCACTTCCTTTCAATACGTGGATCATTGGTAACGTCCTCCTCCTACTCCTTCCATTTTATACTTCGTTACTACATGGAGGAAAGAACTGGTCCTCGGAATAAAAGGCTGTATCGAAGCACAGGAGTCAATCCTGACTTGGCGCTAATACTTTTGAATGAAATTGTTACAAGGTGATGAAAGTAAACGTAAGAGTGAGAAATCTCTCGGAATTGAATAGATGGCGTTAGAATTTACATAAATCCTCCAATGAGAGCAACACATTTGAGAAACTAATTATTCAGAGATATGGTGCGTAACACTTAAAGCTCCTCTGATAGAATAGCTAAATACCAATTTGCACAAGCTTACCTCCTTCGAGCACGGCAATGAGTCTTCCTCCTGCCAGCCCCATAAGCTGATAGGTCATTAACGCGAACGTGTCAGCGCTAACCTGCAACGAGTAACGTAGCAGCCGACATATCTACAGAAACCAAGCCAGCCGCATTGCTATAGACTCACCTTGTACTCGCCAAGAGGATCCCCAGTAGCAGCGTCAAATCCCGATGAGATGAAAACTAGTTCGGGACCGAACTCGTAGGCAATCGGCATGACTATCTGCATGAGTGCAAGGAATTGTTTGTATGGGAGATGATGGTCAATTCATTACCAGACCAACCTTGGCAAATGCTGCGCGGTACGCGTCATCTCCAATGTAGGCGTGGTTCCATGGGATGTTTACAGAATATCCTTTTCCCTTTCCTTCGCCAACATCCATGTAATCCTTTGGCTCACCCATAGGATAGAATCTTCCCTCATCGTGACGATGAATAGACATGTACAACACGCGGTTGTCCTGCAATTTATCTATTCGAGACATATGGGATTTCATTATAAGCGGCTCAGAAAGTGCAAAGCGCTAACTTCGGAGAAGATTTCTTGTGTTCCGTTGCCATGGTGCACATCCCAGTCAAGAATTAATATCCGACGCAAATTGTATTTGTCAATGGCATACTAAAAATGAACACTTCCAATGTCGCACTTATTTCCGTGATTGCAATTCGATTTTTAGCTATGCGCCATTCATAAAAACTTCTATGACATCTGGGACAATTTTTGAACGACCAACGAATACCATAGAGCGAGAATACACTGTTATATACTTTGCTCAGTCATGCCTTTCAACACCAGGACTCTTTTTGTTTCAAAAACAATAATTCTCGTGTTGATCTTTAAAGGCCAGCAAAGATTTGGGATAAGCCTCAATGAACAATATCAGCGTAGGAGAGAAAAATCAGACATCTCGACATATTATGAGGTGACGATTCTGACCTTAATTTCAAAACGTTACTGTATGGCCAAGAACTATAGTAATTACAACGCAATCAGAGACTGGGTTCGAGTGCCGGGTTACTACATCTACCGGGACGACACATTATATAGTTCCTCAAACAGTGCTACCATTTCGATGATTACTTCCGACACGAAAATGGAATAATTCTTCTGTTTGCAGACTATTGATTCTCCCCAAAAGGACAGAAAAGCACAGTTTGAGCACGTGCCGCCCAGAGATCTCTGCGATTGATCGCGACTATGGCGGCCAGGCAGGGCATTGCTAAAATTGTAACTCTAGCAGCACTGAATAATGCCCATTTAGTATGCCTAAAGCGTAATAACTTCGTATAGCATACATTTCAGAGCAAAAAATGAATCGTGTAAGCTAGCGGTAATTTATATCCAAAAAAACCTGCAAAGCGAAAGAAACATCAAAAGGAGATAACCTGAACAATTGAGAAATCGGAATAACTCACGAACCTGAGGCAGCCACAGCTACATTGTTGAAAATACAGAATCCGCTGGGCTCAGAGATACCAGCATGATGGCCTACAAAAAAAGCTACCGTAAAGGACAACACAAAGGAAGAAAAACCGAATGGGCAATTAGCAAACCTGGTGGTCGAACAACAGCGAAGGCGTTTAGCTCTCCAACTTCTGCGCTCAGAACTCGATCCACGCACTATAAAAAATGTAGATGATAGATGTTACCTGCCTTATCTCTCGCATCAAACTTGCACGCTTTCTACATTGACCAAGTGCTTAGCCGTAGCCGTACGCATATTCCAATAACCACCAGTGAATTCCAATCTCGCTCCCCACAACCAATACAAGATCTAGAACGATGACCTTCCTTATACAGCCCGCACCACAGAAGCAATAGAAACACACAGTGACTCAAGGAAAAAAGCGTATTGCCACTCGCTCAATACAGAAAAAAACGCCAATCGAAAAAAGCAAATTTTTCCAAAATAGTCCACGATTTCAGCTGCAGGCCATGGTTTCTAGATGAGCCCTCAGCATTTGGAGCAGTTTTCTTGAGAGTGCAGTAGAGGTGTATGTAAACACTCACGCGCGCTAGAATAATCCCTGAGCCAGCGCGCCCAACCACATAACAACGAACATCGATGCACCTTCGCTTCGGTTCCTCTTTGAACTTTCTTCTCTTCTTTCTAACTCCAGATTTTACATAAAGAAAAAAGCCCCTACCAAAATACCCATTTACACACCAACGACTAAATAAACCCAAATGGCTCACGCTCCTCTGCTCACCAAAAACAATGTGACCCGTTTATCCATCGCCCCTCAGATATGAAAATTTGATTTTTTGAAGGAATTTTGTAGCATGTTATATGGTTGCATTATAACAAGCGCTCTGGAACGATTTGCTTTAGCAAAACTACTAACATCTCACATGAAAACGATGATATAAATGGCGCGAAAAGAGCCTGCACTTTCGTCAAGGTGTTATTTTCACGTGAATTTTCGTGCCATTCCACAAAACTCAGGATGGAAATGCGTTCAGTCGTGTTGATAAGTGTCGCGATAGCGCAAAACATATTGAAACGTGGCTTTATGACTGCTGTGATTCATCCATCTGTCGAAGCGCACTACGCTTGAAATCGTTTGTCGCTGGGGGCGGGCACTCTGTGCCACAAATCTCGCCGTCTCCGCCGCTGCCACGCACCTGCGCATACCATTTCTGAAACGCCATCTATTCCACCTCATGCCAGGTAACTTTCAGGCCTGGAAATGTCCGATTCAAAGGGACTTTATCATCGAGCTCATCTCGAAATGCCTCCATACTCGAAAGTCCTTGAGCCATCATTCTTTGTACCGTTCTTCGCATATTTCATGTGTTTTCACTTCGCTAGTCAAATTGTGAAGAACTTCTTGTGGCGGAGCTACACAGGTTTCAAGTAGGTTAATTACTTCTGTCGCTTTTTGTATCAACCAATCAACGACATCCAAATTACCTCAATTACCAGACTTAGGCATGCGGCTCTAAAAGTCAGCCTTTTCTGGCCTACTTTGACTCGCAGACTTGTTCAGAGCATATCGGTTGCAAAACTTATCCATATGCTTCCTTCACTCAATGATTTCCGGAATATGGACAATTACGTTTTTTGTCACTCACACCAAAGAGATGTTAGGGGACCTCACTCATTGGTATGAACCATGGGCTGCCCAGTTGCCACTTATTTCTATAGGTGAGCAGATTTGTCAGCCTATCATATGAATCCAAGGGCCGTATGCTATCCTTCCCCGAAGCTAGGTGATCCAAAGTTTCCTTTAAATTTATTCCTTTTGAACGATGTAGTTTCTTCATTTTCATTGCATGTTTACTTTGACCTACATACAACATTAAATGTAGACCCTTTGAATCCCAGTTGGGAAGATTTAAAGGGATTTTCGTGCCCCAACCCCTTGGGGGAGGATAGCATACGGCCCCAAGTCAATTTTGCTAGATATTGAATAAAGGAATATGGGTGGATATGAAATTTTGCAGCTTATTTTGTCCACGACGCAATGGATATGCTAAACCACGAATGGTCGCGTTGGACCATGGAATTGCTGATTCATCACATAGCTACCTGCTTTGCTATGCTACCTCCTCTGTTAGCTCGAAAATTTATTCTGGCTAACTATTGGGCTTTGCTTATGGAAGGCAACAGGTTGTTCTTAGCTGTAAAGCTGCGTTCAGACCCCGGAACTAGCGTTTCAGTAGAATTACTGGAAAGTATTGGATGCGTGTCGATTAGAAAATACGACTCTAAAATATGATCATGGGAATAATACAGCTGGACATCGTCGGCGAACCTATGAAAGCGACTAGTTCCGGGTCCTTCTATAGACAAAAAATCACGTGTCCTTCATTTCGTTCTTTCTCACTTTCATATTCTTATGATTTCCATCGATGTTATTCTACCACAAGTACTACTAGTTCGTCGATTCTCCAACTCTGGATGAAGTCTGAACGCAGTCCCAAGACGCTTTTTCTATTCCCATGACAAAACATAAAACACATGAATATTTCAGTATCTTTCTACATGCAAGAACAATCATGCAGATATCAGGGCATTCAGCACTTAAACCAAATCTATTCAAAACAGTTGTTTACTGCAATGTCGTCTCGTGAGTTTTGTTTTTGTGTTAAATATTGTTATGCAGAAGGTACCAAGAGTACACTTAATCTCGATCGAGATAATATCGTGAATTGGAGAGAGGAAGGGGAAGCGGCAGGTAACGATTTTCATCATGTTGAGTGACATAATTTGGCCGACCACACTACATTTTATAATATATAGTACTAAAAAGAGCATTTCGAACTGTCCTATCACATACAGAATCACTACATCTGTTATACTCGCGGGTTGTTCTATCCGAGGTAAGTAAACCAGCCCTTTTGGAGTTTCTGCTGGGGCCGTATGCTGAATGTTGGGGAGGGATGGGGTCCCCGACGGTCGACGGACTACTTCAACTCGGTCGGTACGGTAGGAGAGTAATGACGCAAGTGGTGCAGCTGGTCCAGCTCAGCCTCTCGCCAACCAGGGCTGTTGCTCCTGCGCATGCACTAGCTAAAGAGAGGGCAGACCTGTGCTTTCTCGCAGGTCCGTCCTCTCTTTAAGGCTTAGTTCTGAGGTAAGCATCAAATTGAGGCGGTTCTAAGGACCGAGTTGAAGTGGTCCGTCGACCGTCGGGGACCCCATCCCCTCCCCAACATTCAGCATACGGCCCCAGCAGAAACGCCAAAAGGGCTGGTTTGCTTACTTCGTTCTAATCCACCCTAGAAAA